TTCCTTCACGTTCCCCAGTGGAACATAGGGCTTCAAGCTAGTGGCTTGAAGTTTCTGTAGCAGTGTTTATTTTACAGGATGGGGTTGCTAGCCTCAAGCCTAACCTTTTCTCTTCACCATCATTATTTCTGGCTTAGCGAGATAAAGGTGTGCGTCGGCTGGCTATCGAACCCCGGACCATGTGCATGGTTGGCGAGCGTCCTAACCACTATGCCTCCGACGCCCTGTTCATCGAATCATTCATCCGAGCAAATCTCTCTTGCTCTGTGGACCAAGCACTTTATTAGATTGCGTTTGTATTTCAAGGGCACAAAGCTGAGAAAATGTATGTACTGACCCGTTGATGTAGGTTCTCTATAAACACTTCTTCTTATTGTGCCGTCTTCTTTTCTGGTCATAAGGACAACTAAAAATGAAATAATAGAGTCTTTTTCTTTCTCAATAGTAAAATTTATTACAGGATGTACCTCGTTAAATTTATCCAGGATGTTCTTTGCTTCCTTTTCGTTCTTCATAATCAAAAAAGTATCATCCATGTATCAACAATAAAATTTGAGTTCAATAATAACATCTTTCAAAGGCCCATTTTCTAGTTTCGCCAGGAAAATGTCGGCTAGAATGGGTCCTAGTGGCGACCCCACTGCCACACCGTCGATTTGTCCATACAGTTCCTTATTAAATAAAAAGTGGATATTCATTGTACATTTCAAGAGAAGCTCCTTCATAAAAGTTATAGGAATGCTAACATCGATGTTTCGTCTTTTGAGTTCTTCACATATAAAGTCCACTGTTTCCATGAGAGGTATATTGGTGAATAAAGAAGATACGTGAAATGATATCATGAATTTATTATCAACATTTAAATCTCTTATCCTTTCAACGAATCCAAAAGTATCCTTTACACTATATTTCACCAACTCAGTATGAAGGGGCTGTAAGAGTTCAACTAACCATTTTGCTATCGGATGGCATGGTGAATTTAAGCATATCTAATACTCGTCGTGGCGGTACACCATTTGTGTGCACTTTAGGCGAGCAATATAGTCTTGGTGTGAACGTTCCGGTGGGTTTAAGTGATGTGTACTGACTCTGTGAGATGAAGCCTTGTTATTGCAGTCTTTTCAGTGTTTCCGCTAACTGTATCTCTATCTTTTTAATCGGATCCAGAGAAGAGGAGACTTTTTGGAATTTCAGATTATCATTAAGAATAGTATTCATCTTCTCAAAGTAATCCGCTTTGTTCAAGATAACCACTCCTGAGCCCTTATCCGGTCTTGTTATTATTATGTTATCATTTTTGCGGAGAACATCCAGGGCTTCTCTATGTTTTTCGGTTAAGATACTATCCGAATTGCGTTTACTGTTCATGTAAACAGAGGAAGAGGAATTTATCGAAGAGAATATTCTTTGCTCGATTACTTTGTGTTTTATAGATGTCTGAATGAATATTTTTGCTATATTATTAATATTATTATTATATTTAACTACACCTAAAAAGATACTAAACAACATTTGGAAATGTACGATCTAGTGGTTAAGTTTAGTTATATCTGAATGCTGAAATGGATTATTAATTTGGCAAAAATTGATATTTACTTATATTTTTCTGCTTAAAGGTTTCTTTTTTATCAATTGGATGCTATTGATACATTGAACTCGTAGAGCTTGTATTATTTGTTGAATATCAGTTTATCTTACTCTTGGATCATAATTCAATTTTTATTAAAATACTTAAGAATAAGAAAATAAAGAGACATGAGGCAATTGTATACACATTTTATGAATACTGAAAAACCATTTCTGTCTTTTAGAAAGATATAACATAATTCTAAAGAATATATATCAGTTCATTGTATACCATAGAGAAATAAGTATTTTATGAAATACTTGAATATTTGAGACTGGAAATTCCAATATTAATTTTCAGGTATTCGTTAATGAAGTGAAATTACGCCACACATTTTTAATTCATTCGTGAGTTGGTGTGTATAGTGAAAACCCGTGTTAAGACCGATTGTGAAATATGAACTGTAGACACCTGAATGATATCAAGTTAAACTGTTACCTGACTAATGGTCACAGTGAAGCTTACGACATTATTTTATTATTTTATCAATTAGATCTTCAATGAAGTATTGACTTCTTAAGAACACATTGTTAATTCATTTCTTATCTATCCACTCTTATTCTTTGTATTCATCTTTGTACTACTTACCACTACTAATAAGTAGTATGAGTCATATCTGTTACTTAATAATCATGACTTGTTTGCTGTTGAAGTTTAACTCAATGTATTAATACTCCATTTGATATATTGTAACTATTCTCTTTGAGTTAAACACTAACTGCTGCATATGCTTTATCTATATACTCTTCTCCGTTGAACATTATTTATCGAATCTCGTTATTCCTTTAACTGGAATTCGTGTTCTGTTTATTCGCCTTTGACACAGTATGCTGTCTTTTCTTAATGATGCAGAGTGATTGTGCATTTGACGGCATACGGCCACTAACACCTGACAATTTGAGGTTTGCATATTTTACTTCACTACTTTATATTTAGTATAGTACTGTATACTGGAAAAGTCCTGTGTTTTTAGATTTTATGCGTTACTCAACGTGTGGTTTAACTAATTGACTGGATTATCGCTATGGAAATCCACAATCACTTCCTCTGGTTTGAACTTTTACTTATTACAGAATATTAAATACGTTCTGTGAGAAGTTGTTTTTTAAGAATGACTAGTGTTATTATAAGCTCACAAATCATGACTGTTATTATTATTGTTCCCTTGGGTTCCGAGTGGAACATAGAGCTTCAACGACACACCTCCACTTTGTTCTATTCTCTGCCGTCCTCTTAAGCTGAGTCCACGACTGTCCATAATCTCTCACTCCTCCAACTCGAACGATCTCCTCCACGTCACCCTTGTACCGACGACCCACTCGTCGTTTCCCACTTGGAATCTACTCCAGCGATGGCCTGGAGGGCGATGTTAGTCGACAGTTTCCTCAGCGTGCGCCCGATCCACCTCCATTTCCTCCCACAAATTTGTGAAAGATAGGTACTTGGTTAGCTTCTTCTCATAGTTTCTTGCTGCTAATTCTTTCTGGTCGGCTATTCGATCTTCAGCATAGAGCAAGCGAAGGTAGACAGCTGCTGATAAAAGTTTGCAGTGGCCTATTGGAAATGTTGTTCGTGTTGTGTCAAGTTCCTGACACATATCGAAGAACTGACTGACTTGACATTGGTGTTGAAATCTACGAGTCCTGTTGTTTATGCTGAGTGCAGAAGATTTCTAAACCGATTTCAGATTGATGAAGGTGCATCTTGCCTTTCGAATTCATGCGCTGACATCTTCATCCGTTATGTCGCCTGTCACTGAAACAATCCTTCCTAGATAACTGAAGGAATTGACCACTATCAAATCATGATTACGTGATGATAATTATAGTTTTATTTGTCTTAGTTTCATTTGATTTATTTTGATTTGTATATTTATATTTAGGGATGATCTTTACTGTAAGTTTTGGTTTATCTAAAGAATGTTGACTCATATATTAGCCACTTTTGACGATTAGGCTTTCAGTCTTTTCTTAAATAACGCTTAAATTTAAAAGTTTCATCTTCATTACTCACATTCAACCTAGAAAGAATAACCCATAACATTGGATAAGGCATCAGAATGTCCTGCTATAAATTTGTATTAGATTTTGTTCATGATACGAAAATATTAACAACTGCTGCATTTCACAGATTATCCAAGATACATGAAAGACCAAAGTCAAGAGACGAATAAAGTTTTCACTTAAGGTGCTTTTTATTCCTTTACATCTCCAGTGGAACATAGTGCCTCAAACTGGAGCTTTCAAGTTTCGGTAGCAGTGACATTTGATTTTACGGGATGGGGTTGTTAGCCTCTTGTCCAACCTTCTTCCTTTACCAGTCTTATTACTGGCCTAGCGAGGTAAAGGAGTGCGTCGGTTGGGATTGAACCTCAGACCACATTCGGGGTTAGCGAGCATTCTACTGCTGCGCCACCGACGTGTTTGAGGTGTAGGTTTTTTGAAATCAGTGTACATTCTCTAGTAAATGCATAAAGGCGGAAGTACATGTTAGAAATCCACAAATTTGTGATATTTTAATACCAGAATTACTTTTACTAACTTGGGTAAAACCGTTGCCTTGAAATGGCTTTTATAGTCAACGACTTTTTAAGAGTTTGTTAATATCAAGGTAGACTAAAAATATCTACTTGTATCTTAATGCTACTTTAGATTAGTCTGCGTACTCACCCACATCCACATCCATATAGGTGATATTAGAACATATAGTCTGAAACACTAATAAATGGATGGAATCATCTTGCAGAGTCATCGACAAGTACACAAATTATGCATAGCATTTAGAAAGTTATGCATGCATAACTAACTGCTAACAGTGAGACTAGTTGCACCAGGTAGGCATATTTTTGCTTATAATATTCAACAGACCGGTTGTGTTACTTTATTACTTATAGATGCGTCGGTGACCAACCACGCATGTGATCAGGAGTTCAATCCCCAGCCGACGCACTCCTTTACCTCTCTAAGCCAGTAATAAGACTGGTAAAAATGAGGGGTTAGGCATGAGGCGGCTAGCAACCCCACTCCGTGAAAATAAACGCCACTGCTACCGAAACTTCAAAGTTCTAGTTCGAGGCCCTATGTTCCACTGGGAACGTAACGGAATAAAAAAATGTTAACTATAGATACATGTCCTTTTGAATCGCCCTCGCTAACTGGGCCATTGAAATCTTAATTCATAGAAATAATTACCGGTATCTAATTTGTCCTGAATTTGAACCCTACTACAAATGCGTTGAAAAGCATTAGTAGTATTTCCAATGGCGTTTATTTAAATGATAAATGGGTTCAGCATAATCACTTCCTCAAAAATGCCTAATTACTTGAATGAAGTTTATTGTTTTGAATATTAGCATGCAGATGCTATAGTGCTGGTTTATTTATTTAACCACATTATAGTTAGTTTTTTATTCTTTTCTTATCATTAATTAAAAACTATGCTTCATTCACATAATTAGACTTTGGTCATCTGCAAAGAAGAAATTTAATCATTCACATAGATTTTAGTACTATGTATATATATATATCTATCACGCCATATCAGGAAACTTACCATACATCTGTCACAACCTACAGAATGTTGATCATATTGCTAACTGTGTTTTGCTTAATTAACAATTTTGATTTATCAACAGCTTTGGCAGTTGAAGTACGTTTCATTTTTATTAAAACTTGAGTTGTCCAATATTCTATCCTAATTTTCTGTAAGACCTAATTTTGATTATTTTAAGACACACTTCGTCAACGAAATTGAGAGCTATTAGAGACTAAGGTACTGTAAAATAACTACTTCTTTCTAGCCTCGAGCTCATTAGTTGTACTTCCCTTGGCATCCTACATGAGATTGATATCAGGATCATTGCAATCTATGACATAACTGTATGAAAACTAGTTTGTTTATGTGTTTTCAGTTGTTTGAATGGGTTATTATAGCTCAATTGTTTGTGATTGACAGTTCTTGTGATGAGTAACTATTCCCATCTGCAAGTTAGCTAACTGACCTCGTTAGCCATGGCTTTTCATGATAAGTTTAAGAAGTGAATTGTTGTAGCTGTCCTTTTAAAAGAAGTTATATTTTGATGCTACAGTTAAAATATGTAGAGTACCATACCTTTAAATTCTCACTGTTTCATGAAAATTTAAAATATCTATAAAAAATCTGTTATATTTTTTCCTAATTTCATGTTCACTTACTCATCAAAAAGGCTACATTCTTCACTAGATATATGAAATAGAGCAAGCACCTTAGTGGTTCTCATTATTCCTCCTAGCTTACATCGAGTAGTATCCAGATCGACCTGGTAGGAAACATTTTAACAAAATAATGAATCCCTATTACTATTCCCTTCAGAAGCGTATTATCATTTCGTCTGCTTCTCTATAGTCTCTTATAACAGGTTCAAAACTTATCCTTACATGATCTCCTCCATGTCACCCTCGGTCATCCAACTCGTTGTTTTCTGTTCGGATTCCACTTTGGTACAAGTCAGAGTCTCCTCAGAGTATGTTAAGTCCTAAGCCGAGAAAAAAAGGCTAGGCGTGGGGTTAGCGACCTAACCGCGGAAAATCAATACAGTCATTACAGAAATTATAAAACACAGGAAAGTAATGAGCTAGTTCAAGCCAAATTAAGTTAAAATCATACTTAATTTCTTCAGTGTTCTGTACTGCTTACATTTTTACATAAAATGTTTAGCAATTTATGCACTGTCTTTCATCAGTTCAACTTATGTTATTGGGTTTATCATTTTTTGTGTTGACAGGATATTTACATTCAAAAAGAAAATGTATCATGGGGTATGTTAGTATTCCATATTACTCTGATCACAAATGTTATATAACATCTTTCAAAGAAAAAGCCATTATCTTTTTATTATGTGTTATTGTTAACTATCTATTGTGAATTGCAGGTTAAGTGTCCAGTGTTTTTATTCATAGGATAAATAGGGCTCTGAGTCAGTATTGTTTACTATACGGTGATTAGGGGATCTGTGTAGGCTCCAGTGTTAGCTAAATTCTACTGGCAAGCAAGCACTTTGTCCTTTAAGTGACATGCTACTATTATACACCAAAATTTTCTGATACGCATTAGAAATCACTGAACAGTGAGAATGCTGGAGTAACAATAGGATGAATAAGTATATTATGTGTTATGATTTTAGGAAAGCACATCTAATTTTGCAGTTTTAAACTTTTGACATTCATGAGTTCTTCACAAAATTTTAAATTATGCAGACAACTAAAGATCTCTAAACCACAATATTCACTATCCTGTATCCAAAAAATGCATTTTGTAAGCTGATTTCGCCTAATGATAGTTAAATAAGTACATCTACTCTATTACTGTAACTATTATTCTTTAGAAAAATTGAATTTTTATTCCGATTAAGTGTATTCTACCCTATATAACAATTCTCTGCATTAAACAGGATGTGGAATGTGCGAAGCTGGTCTCAGCTTTCTGCGTTATCTAATGACTGATAATTATCTCCGTGAAGTATATATACTAGCCGGCAATAGTATATGTGATCTTATTCCACCTGGAAGAACACAAGATGTTGTGAGTTCAACTGAATTGTATATACCTTTCCGTATATCTTCCTAGATGTTTTGTAGACTTAATACTATCCTGGTAGGTGTATTTACCAGCTTGTAGATTAAACATTTGAAAAGAGTTATTCCTACACAGTCTGTTATGGTTTCTAAGTTAGACAAAAATGACATTTCCGGTTTTCATGCGCCTTTTTGAAGGATTTATAGTGTACTAACTGATATCTGTTAGTGAATCTTTGAAAAATGATGGTGACTGAAAAAATTTTTCGCAGTATTTCGGGGCATATCATGAAACAGTCTTGGTTAAAAGATGACTGAAGTGTTACAGATGAAGTTAAGATTTAAATAACTACTTTAATTACAAGTAAATGATTTGCCAGTGCTAAAAAGGGCTTTCTTAAAACTAAAATTCTTATTTTCGGCGTACCATTTTATCATTTCGTGGTTCACGATAACAAACTTAAAATAAATAGGAAAGATGCTGAAATGTAAAAGATCAATGATAACTATTAAGGTTATTAGGAGACACAATTTTAGTCCTAAAAGAACACATTTTCATATATTTCTAGGGATTAATTCTGTAGTACGTATCATCAGGACGTCAAACTTTATCATGGCTGTTTTTCCTGCACAAAACGTCAAACTGTATCGAATATACTGATTAAAATAAACTTTTAATCATTATTACAAAAATAATTAGTTATCAGCTTTAAAATTATCGTAAACTATTTTCAGATTGTAGTTTCTGTAGAAATTTGGATTAACTTCAATGCGAATTTCGTCACGAACCATCATCATTTCGAGAATCTTTGGAAACTAGATGCACTGTGCAGCCGGTTCATTCTAGTTTAGGACTCTTCAGCAGTGCACACTCATGACTCTATCAATGAACTAACCGAAAACCTTTACATTAAGATGTTAAGCTCATTTACCAACAATTTAGCCACTTGAAAAGGAATTCAGTGACCCGTGAATTCAGACATTTTAAATTCGTGATATAGCACAACTGTTAAGCAATGCTATTGATGAGTATCTACTTCACTTCGACATGGTGAACTCTTCTGGAAAGCTCAGAACATATATCTAGTTGCCACCGATGAGCTGCAAAACTGATATTAAGTTTATGCGTTTTGTATGGATTTGAATAAATTCCAAAGTAGCACTTTATCATAAAATTTACAATGTGAGAATTCATTGATTACTGAATTCTGGTCCTAGTGGCTCAATGGTCAACCAGATAACCTCGTAACCTGATGGTACCAGTTGCGACCTCTAATAGAGTTGTGGGTACTTACTTTTGAATAGTCCTGAACTAGGATGAAGCAACTATGATATATCTCCTAGTTTTCAATGATCCTTAACTGATATTAGCTCATGACGAAGTCTACAGTGAAGAAAAAAAACATATGTCCAAGAATATTTAGATACATTAAAAAAAACATTCTTAATACTTGATTTCAGTGTATTTTACAATGAACTCCTCATACAGTTAGTGCTAACTTATTATTTCTCGATATTTTTAACACAAAGTTCACGTTAGCTATCCATTCTGAGATCATTAGTGAGTTAGAAAGCACGGCGGTGCTTAATCACTGATGAATACTTTTATAATAAAGGATGATGAGCCTTCTACTCCCTATTACTTTGGTAGACTTCAATAAAAATGTCTTGTTAAGTAGTCTGACAGTATTTTGGAGGTTATCAGCGCATTTGCTTACAAATTTCAGAAACTTTATGGTGCATGTTTACATAAGAAAAATGTTTTCATGACATTTTAAATAATAATCTAAAAGGTTTTTTTAAAATTATCAGTTGAATTGGTTTATGCATCACTTTTGTTTATTTCAGTGTTCAACCTACGTGGAAAAATACTTACTAGAAGTTTTGAATACAATTGGAAAGGCATCAAAACCAGAAGAATTATGCGTGGTAAAATATTCGTAGTTTATTTAATTATAGTGCTTAAGTATTTTGTTAATTATATTAGTAAGTGATAATGTATAACTGTAGTTCTTTGGTGGCTTAGTGATAGAACACAGGGCAAACATGTAAGTGGTCCGGGGTTCGATCCCCGGTCAACGCATAACCTTACCTCGTTTAGCTGGCAATAAGCCCGATAAAGAGGGAAGGTTGGGCGTGAGGTTAGCAACCCCATCCCGTAAAAAAATACCACTGCTACTGAAACTTCGAAGCTCTAGCTTGAAGCCATATGTTCCACTGGGAAAGAAAATGAATTAAAAGACGTTAATATAAGAGTAGAACTTGTGCACTATGGTAGAGTATAACTCCATTGTAGGTAGAATTTATTTTGATAGTCTTATAGTGTTATACAGTAATATTTACTGATGACGTTTCAAGCACAATTTATTGCTGCTCATAATCATATCAAGGTACTCACACAACTTTCTAACTTTGTTTATATAATTCCATTATTTTTCACCGTTTGACTTGATCGGTAGTAGTATTTTCATCATTTCATCATAATGATGAAATGAAACAGATAGATGAAGAGTTGGTGTTAAATAAATATGCTATAAAATTCATTAGGTAGGTCAACAAAGGTCAAAAGCAAAATAAAAATAATGGAGAAACTAATCATGATAACACAAATAAGAGAGAATATAAGGTATCTACAGTTTTACCATATAAGGAAGGGACATCTGAGACCCCACGTAGGATTCTTAATAAAGCAGGAATTAGGGTGGTATTTAAACCTACAAACTCACTCTGGGACAAGCTCTGTAGGTTAAAGGACCCAGTTTACCCAATTAGACAAAATAATATAATTTATAAAGTACCCTGCAATGACTGTGAGGTCAACTACATAGGTCAAACTAGTAGGTCAGGGGTAGTCAGATTGTCGGAACATAAGAATTTAGCTAAGGTTAGAATGATTGAACCCGTAAAGATAAGTAATTTAGAAAAAAGCTCAGTGAGTGCAAGGCACGGATTAACACACAACCACACAATATGTTGGGACGGAGTCAAAATTCTAAAATGTAATCTGGATAGGTGGAGAAAGAAAGAGGTTGATTGCCGAATCCTTGTTCATAGAGTCCACACCCAACACATGCAATAGGAATGACTCATCACTCATACCGGAAATATGGAAAATGCTACTACCAATCAAATCAAGCGATGGAAAATAATGGAATTATATGAACGAAGTTAGGAAGTTGTGTGAGTACCTTGATATGATTATGAGCAATAAATTGTGCTCGGAACCTGGTCATCAGTAAACATTACTGTATGACACTGTGAGACTTTATCAAAATAATGGAATTAAAAGAAGAATGTAAAACTGTCATAATTTATTGGAACCATTGAATGTTTATCGTTTTACCAAGAATGTGTAATGAATTCAGGGATTAGACTAATTCTTCCGAGTATTTGCGTCTAGCAGAAACAGGTGTTTCTTGACATCCTATTTTCTTTTGTAATTAACCCATCACAAACTTTACTGGTACCCAGTAATAATTCAGGCTTACCATAATGCTGAAATAAATCTCGCAGATTCTGAACTAACTCTAACTTTCTATAGTGAGTAAATTCTGGAATTATTCTGAAAGGATTTGATTATGCGCATAAACTAGAAATCAGTGCTGGTTTTTAGCATGACTGGGACTAATTCAGTACCCTGTGCTTTTTCTAGGCGTTTTCAGAAGTAGCTCAGAACCTACCGGGTTCGCTAATCAGCGTTGTTTCAGCCCTCTCAGCCCAGATTTAGCACTGATTGGCATTACTTCAGAAGGAAAAGACTGAATTCAACGCGTAGTGACAATTTTTCAGCTTTATTTCAGCACTAAAGGCATTAATTCAGATGTAAATCCTACTTTTAAGGTCTCAACGCATTAATTAAGCGTCCAGTGCTCTTTTTTAAGAATGATCAGAGTTATTTCAGCGTGTAGTGGGTTCATTTTAGGTAGATAAAATATTCATTTACCATTAAAAGGCATTATCGACACATAGGTTAGAATTAGTTTGGAATTATTGTAAGCTTGGGGATGTAATCAATAAATTATCTCAGAATTTCTTAATCAAGTGTATTCAGAAGAAAGGAGAGATTTTACCTTTACAGTGGCCTACTAAAAAAGCAACTGATTTTATAAGCTTGAAGTAAATGAGACCCTTTGATTTTGAACGTTAACACTGTTTGTACATATTTCTAAATCCTCAGTTACCCTGAATATTATTACCACACTTACGAAAATAACATAATAAGTAGTTCAGGAAAGACTCTGCCTTCGGTGAATTCAGCCACATGATCACATTTATATACAATTTTTCACGAAAGAGGTTTGCAACAGAAGTGATGAGTTTTCATAATAATAGTTGTTAATATTAGACAATACATGGACTCATCAGTTTTGTTAGGATCATCTTTCATGGAAAAACGAAAATGTATATATAAATGCGATTGTATGGCTAAAGAAAAAGAATTCGCCAAAAACAGCCTCTTTGCTGAACTGCTTGTTTTGCTGAATGGCGATTATTTATGAGTACTACATTTATTTACCTGTGTATCAAAATGTATTTTCGCTTGAACTAAGTTAATACTCGTGCAAACAGATAGTGGGATGTCAGACAATGTAGCTGTTGAATCCTAAGTGGGTTAACTGATACCATACCCTATGTCATCCAATGAATTTTCTCTCTATATATAATAACGTCCAATGGAAAGTTAGTCATAGCCTAGATACTATTATGGTAAGAAATCTAACACTGACACACTCACTCACTTAAATAAAAACTCCTAATCTTACAATAAATAACTGACAGCATCAGAAGTTTCCTAAGAGATATTTCTAGTTAATTTGTCACTCTTTCGAAGTAAAGACGGGAGTAAGACAAGGCTGCCTACTATCGCCAATGATTTTCCTGATTGCGGTAGACTGGATAATGCGACAGACAGCGGGTAATGAGGAAACAGGCATAAAATGGACTCACACAAAAAACTTGGAGGATCTGGACTTCGCCGATGATAAATGTCTGATTTCCCACAAACTGGAAGATATGCAAGTGAAAAGCAACAAGTTGGCGATAGAAGAAGCATCAAAGAAAGGACTTCAGGTGAACATAGAGAAAACAGAGGTAGGTGATGAAGATTCCTGGCCAATAGCAACAGCAAAAACAATAGACAACAATCAGTATAAATGGGAGAAATCTGAAAGAAGCAACCTCTTTCACCTACTTACCTACCTAGCTGGGAAGCATCGTTTCAACTACAGGCAGACGGAACTGATGAGAATATCAAGGCGAGGATCGGGAAAGCAAGGCAACCTTTCATTTCTCTCAAGTCTGTGTGGAGATTAACGGCACTCAGCATGAAAAATAAGATCCGGGTTTTCAACTCCAATGTGAAGTTAGTGCTACTTACTATACAGATCAAAGACTTAGTGAGTCATGAAGGGCACTTCGAACAAACTACATCAACTACGTCAACAGCTGTCTTCGCTCAATACTCAAGATCAGATGACCAGAAAATATAAGCAACAGGAAGAAATCTCTGGGAGCGAACCAAGCCAGCAGGAATCGATTGTGCAACAAATATGCAGGAAGAAATGGAGGTGGATTGGTCGTACTGTGAGGAAACCATCAGGTGACATCACTAGACAAGCCTGCTCGAGTGGAACCCGAAAGCGAAGCGGCGAGTTGGTCGTCCAAGGGTGACTTGGAGGAGGTCATGTGAATAGGAGATGAAAGCATGTGGGGAGACCTGGAGCCAGCTGAAAACTTTAGAAGAGAACCGAACTCAATGGAGACGTGCAGCTGAAGCCCTATGTTCCTCTAGGAATCAAAGGAAAATAATAATAATTCACCTAATCATAAGCAGGCATAAACTGGGTTCTAGTTTCTTTAACTTAAGGGTAATATAAAATATAACATAAGCTTAACTAGTAGCTTTGATTTCATTTTTGCTCGTGCATAGCTTTCTTTCTTTGGATAACATGTTGTCTGTAAAATCCATTCACAGTTTTACAAGTTATTGTATCTGTTCATCCTCTAAAGTGTTTCTAAAATCATTCACAGGACTTTCAAGCGTGTAATGCAACCAAAGTTACGAAATATTTTACGGAGAGAGGTAAAAGAACAATGTTATCTATTTTTTTTATATTTTAGCATACACTTTTGTTACTTTATCATTAACGTTATTTGTCTATTTTATTTTACAACTACATAAATGTATCGCTGAACGTAAGCTTTATTTCCCAACAAATTGTATTAGGCGTTCCAATACCTAAAACATTCAGCAAAAGAATGCACTTACTACCTACTATTGGCTAAAATCACCTGTAGTTAGCATGTACTTAAACAAAGTGAGAAATTAAGTTGTACTGGTACCTTCTGTGTCTGATTTAGGCATAGTGTTCTATGACAATAGCAGATGATTTCTAAAATTGACAGTGTGCTGCATCAAGAAGTACGGAACACAAGTGAGACTGGACTTCTTTCATATCTGGGAACAAATTTTCACTTATGGTCTTTAAAGATTTATTGAGTTAACTGAGAGAATTTTGTAAACACACGTATATAGTGTGGAGTATAATGTGCTACCTTGAAAGACAAATTGACAAAAATTTGAATATTATAATTTCTAGACAGGAGAGAAGCCTTCATCGTTCAGAAAAAGAAATATATTTGGAATTTCAGACGAAAAGAAAACTATTCTACTCAAAGATTAAGTCATAAATGTTTGAGTTATATACCATTGTGTTAAGTTATGCAATTAAGAGTAAAATAGGCATTCATCATGCCTACAAACCTTTATTCACCATTAAAAACGCTTCCAGTGATGAGTAGATTTCTTGAAGTTTACTCATTTTAAACCACAGTTTCCTATACTGTAGGCTTACTTTAACCTGTATTATATGTGCAAATAGGGTTTTAGCTTATATCTCTGAAAAGAATCTTCTGTTTCTCATATTTTTTAAGTATCAGAGAATTTTAAGTCCATTTCTTTTGTAAACTGAAATGTACCTACTTATGGAACCTAGTCAATTGTTTTTCAATCAGTATTTGTTTAATGAACAAATTTTTCAACTCATATCAACTAAAACTCTACTCACAGCCAAAGAGCACTGATTACCCTCTCGGTTTCAATCTTAAGCTCTCTATCACTGCGCACAAATGTCAGTGTATGCTTTTTGGGAGACCACGATTGTGATGTTGCAACACCTCAACCTGAATTTAGCGCTGAATATTCAGTCTGATTGACAGCGTCACTCAGTCAGTATGTAGTGAATGTATTTTGAAACATTCATTTTATGTAGGTCGGACTAACTTTTTCAGGGATTGATCTCTAGTTTGTGAGGAATTTTATGATATCTTTGATAAGGATTCACACTGAACTGACTAGTATTTTGATCGGTCTGTGCCTCGGTAGCACAGTGGTTAGGACTGTCGTCGACCATGCACATGGTCCGGGGTTCGATCCCCTGCCGACGCACACCTGATATCTATGGTCGGCCTGCAAATTTGGGCTACCGATATCATATGCTGAAAATTCCATACTTGTACCAGAAATACAGTGTGGTTTCAAGCTATAATCAAAATTTAAAATTCAAAATATATATTCACCATCAGTAGTTCACCTGAGACTGAGGTTAGAAGGCCAAATCAGTTCAAACCAACTGAATCCTGGTTAGTGAATAAATTAACAGGTCAGCAACTGGAAAACTCAACCTCACTTTAAAGGTTTAAGGAGACTAGATTTGTCAAAGATGTTGTAAAACTCATATTAGTAAGTTCATTATTGTTTTCTTCCTAAAAAGACGAAAACTAAAACATTCATGGTGAAGAAAGCATGATAAGTTAACAGCTGTTTAGGAGGAAACGGAGTTGTTCACTCATTTTTGGACTACTTACTTGCATACATGTAGACAGTGACTAGAGGCCATCATTTAAAGGTAGCATTAAAAATACCTCATGTTATTCACTTAGAGATTCACACAAGTTTGTGTATGTTAGCTGTGTATTCACAATGGTACAGTTATGAATAACCTAGCAAGATTTCAAACAATCGTCCTAAAAAGACAACGTTTTTGAAATCCGTTTTGTTGGAATCGATATTAGGTTCCACTGTGCTCAAATATATCACTGGAAAACATGTCATCAGTAAGTATCTTGATGGCAATGTCTTTTTATTTCGTCTATTTTAAAGTTTTTTCTTCTGATAGCCAGTATGTTCCAATGTCTTTTTTCAATAGATGATTTTGATAGCTGTAGAAAGTGTCAAGTTTTGAGCAAATCAGTTTCCAAGCTGATGCATAGCACAGAATTTTCTGAAACGCTGCAGGAATCAATTCAATCTGGTTGTAGCTTCTTTGAAGGATATAAAGACCAGGTGATTTTTTCTTGACATGATTAACTAGATATTTTGTTGAAAAAACAGCGGGTTTTATTACGTTTCTTAATTGAGTTATTTTTTCCGGTCTTCCATTGGTGAAGTGAAATGATGGCTTTTTTCTTACCGAAAAGATGAAAGCTAGTTAAAGACGAAATTTAGACAGGATAAATGCCTTGATTATTAGTGGCTAACAATAAAACACGGGATCAACACTTTAACGCATATATAACTCCTTTTGGTAGACACAAGGTTTTGAGTGATAGTACTCCTGCTGACATTATTACCTACCAGCTGTCGTGTAGAGCAATGAAGAATTATTCACTGATTAAATATGCTGCTTGGAATTCAAAAGCGTTCAACTAATTAACAAATGTCGCATCAGTTGTGTTCTGCAACCAAAGGTATTAACAATGGATATGTATATCAAATCCTTCAAGTCTTACGCAAGTTTCAAAAGAAAAGCATGGTAAATCTCAAAACTTATTTCATCCAAGTTATGCCACAAAAACAAAATCATCTAAATCTACAGGGGGAGTGCAAAACTAAATTATTTGGTGGTTGTTGATCAGCAGTGGAGTTCAGCATGTGCATTTCGTCGTATTTGAGACCCATCAACTGGACGTAGTTGCAATACTCAGTGAGTGATGTTGTCCCGGCTGACACTCGAATTCAGTACCGATAGTTTGAAACGCCAAAAGGTTAATCACTAAATCACTTAAGCTACGAGAAAATTAATGAAACATTCATTCCGTGAATGTGGGCTCACACAGAGAACACACAGCCAGTTAATTCCTATGATGACAATTATGAAAGATGTCGTAGATGAATAAATAGATAAACTAATGATAACACATTCCTTGTGAATATATGAAACTCAAGCAGAAGATCTAACTAGTTGAATGCGAATAGGATAAAGACACTGAATGGAAATTAGACAGTATAAGCAGTCACGAGATAATCTCAGTCCGCGTCAATCACACAGTCATGCTAGGAATGATTAATACTAGAATATTATCTAAAGCTATTAACTTTAAGGTGTTGGTTTACAGATATTTGATTGGTTACAGGTTCGATCACGAGCTGACATCGGTTAGGGAACCACTGGAAAACAAGGGAATACTGAACAGCCGTTTTAGCCTAGTTTGGAACTCTTCTAGTAGCCCTTCAAATGACCTCAAATAGTTTTGAGAACTACTTGATCCGCTTTTCCTTTATTGACTATTATTTAGCTTACAGCTACACTTAGATTCATCAGGTAATAATTTAGTTGTGTTATTTTATTGTCAAGTTGAAAAAAATATTAGCATGCTTTATACGTATTTTCTTCCTTCAGTGCATGGAATACTCTAAAAGTCTTTTGGATAACGTGAAGGAAATTGTTCATTTTAATCTGGGTAGAGTTTGTAAGGTAAGCTCATACTTGTGTGTATTTTACATGGTTTACGTGGTTTCCCATATGACCATCCGAGGTAATCCTAGTGTGGTTTGACATGTTGATGTTTAATTTTTTTAACGAAAACTTTGATCACTGCAGGACTTCAACTAGTGGCTTCCACTGCACTTATCTGCCATTTTGTCGAACTCAATTAGTGATAAGTAACCTGGTCTCTGAGCTGAACTGCATTCGTGAGCGAAGTTTACGTTTCAGTTCAACTAATTTAGTTACTGTCATAGTGGTTGTTTCAAATCATTTGTTATTGTTCACTACCTTTCATGCAAAAGCGGCTGATACCATTCAATAAAATAATTGGTTTTTCTAACAAACAGAGTTTGCATAACGAATGATGTCTATATCAGTATATTTTAGTATAACTGTATCAAGGAGGCATCTAGATTATGAATATTTTCGAATAGAATTTGGTGTAAGATGGTGAGAATCGGTAGGCAGGAAGCACTGCATACTAGTAGCTGCCAATATGGTGTACCTACTAAATAGCTGAGTGGTAACGTCCCTAACTGCTACATTGGGACAGTGGAGTTTGAATATTCGTGGGAACGTTAGTTACTTCGAGTTTTTGGACACGTCTTCTATTAACTGTCACTAGACACAAAACCTGTCGATCACTTCCAATCATTTAACAACAAGTTTAAGTGAGCTACGACGGCAAGTCACTACTTTGAGAATTTAACTGATAGAATTTAGTTAGAACTAAGGACTGTACATATGATGTTCTCTAATTCCTACTGGTCAGTCAGTCCATTGGACTGAATTTAATTTACTTGTATACAGTGACCTTTCCGTATGCAGTTGAACTCTTTTTACTGATCACTTAATTCCCTATTGCATAAAAACGTTGCCTGGTGTATGTGCGACATTTATAATCTGTAACTAATGAAATAATGATGGATGCCTATAGATGCAATATCAAAGGTATGATTCTGTATGCCTAAATGCATAAATATAGGACCAAATTCACTTTTATTTGTTTGGAAACATTTTCTGATACGAATTTAAAACAAGCAACAAAAGTTAATAAAGCAGGATTTAATGAATTCATCAAATTTCGGAAGAACTCTTCAGTTGAATACTCTATAGATAGAGATAAATACACGCTGAGAAATATCTTGGGAGATATAAGACTGATAACCAAATAAACTACATTAAATAAGAACAACACAAATAAGCGAACAATATCGTTTTCAATTAGATATCATCAAGCTTGAGAGATCTGACGAGACTAATCCTTTTTTTATTCCTTCTGTTAACTGTTACTTTATTAACATATTCCAAAAACATCAGTTGTAATTCTTTAGGTAAATGATCAACTGAAAATTGTCTTTGTGATATGTTCCTTTCGGGATCATTCATAAAACTTTTGAATTAATCATGCATAATGCCAGGTGTCGGTGGCATAGTGGTAGAATGCTCATCAGCTACGCAGGTGGCTCGGGGTTCGATCCGCAGCCGACGCATACCTTTACCTCTCTAAGCCAGTAATAAGATTGGTAAAGAGGAAAGGTCGGGCGTGAGGCTGGCAACCCCATCCCGTAAAAATAATCGCCACTGCTACAGAAACTTCAGGTCTCTAGCTTGAAGCCCTATGTTTCCATGGGAACGTAAAGGAATAAAAAAATTGTACAAGTTTATAAGCTCTGTGAAAACATTCACAACTGTCGTTTTGCATGATTAATTCAAAATAGTTTATTTCCTTTTCAGTCTTATATCTCCCAATGTAATTCTAATGGTATTCAGCTGAAGAGTTCTGCCAAAGTTTGATGAATTCATTGAATCCTGCTTTATTAACTTTTGTTGCTTGTTTTGAACTTTTATTGACACTTGAAGAGTGTAACCACTGTTGTTACATAATTGTGCTCGAAGGCGACAATATCATTATGAGCAGATATTCAATGCGATGGTGAAGTGTGATCCGCTGAATTTTAATTCTACAATACTCGCATCTAATGAAAAATTTAAGAAAGCGCAAATAGTATAAAATTTATGATATCCATAATCAAAATGTTGTTTGAATAATTACAAGAATTATTGCATTGTTCTGATTATTATTACATTATATCACCTAGGTATCATGCCGATAAAATGGATTCTTGTGAGTTTTAAGTGAATTATTTCATAAACTTTTGTTTCAGATAGTTTCTGAGTGTTAGACATGGATTTTGCTTTTGAATAAATCCTGCACCTTTTATTACATTAATATTATTCCTTTGGGTTCCGAGTGTAACATAGGGCTTCAACAACACATCTCCACTTTGTTTTATTCTATGCTGTCCTCTACAGCTAGGCGCACGACTGCCCTTAATCTCTTATCTCTTCCCCTAAGCGATTCCCTCCATGTCACCCTCGCAGTGATAACCCACTCGTCGTTTCCCACCCGGGTTCCACTCGAGCAATAGTCTAGTGAGTGGTGTCATTTGACGGTATCCTTAACGGATGCCCAATCCATCTCCACTTTCCCCTGCATATTTTTTGAGCAATCGGCTTTTAGGTGATTTTTTCCCAGTCAGAGTTTCTTGTTAATTGGTGGATGATGACTGGCAGTGGAATCCAGGATGCGCATTTCGTCCTATTTGGGATTCGTCATCTAGATGTACCTGCATTCCTCAGTGAGTGATGATGTTCCCCCCGAGGCTCGAACCCAGTGCCCATAGTTTCAAACGCCAAAGCGTTATCCACTAGACTACTTGGGCCACGAGACCCACCTCTCGTGCGACGGGTCATATTAATCCTGGATTCCACTGCTAGTCACCATCCAGCAATTTACTTCTAATTTTATGCCCAGGCATTGTCGAAGCATCTGCACAAGAAGCCGTCATGACAACCTGATACCAAGCACTTCCGTCCAATCAGTCAACGGAAAATCTAAAATTCATTTAGAGTTTCTTGTTGTTAATTCTTTCTGATCGGCCATTTGATCTTCAGTATGGAGCCAGTGAAGGCAGCTGTTGATAAAAGTCTACAGCAGTCTGTTGGAAGTACTTTTTGTGATGTACTGGCCATGTATCTGACCCGTATAGAAGAAATGACTGACTGACTTCACATTTGTGTTGAGAATCCGAATCTTGTTGTTTATGCTGAGTGAGTGCAGAAGATTTCTAAGCATATTTCAGATTCATGATTGTGTATCTTGCCTTTCCGATTCCCGCGTTGACATCTTCATCCGTAGTCGCTTGTAGTTGAAACAGTGCTGGCTGCCTAGATAAGTGAAGGAAGTAACCTCTTTCAAGTTTCTTCCGTTGATGGTGATTGGTGCTGGTTGTTGTTGGGGTTCGTTAGTTATCTTCATCACCTCCATCTATGTTCTCCATGTCCACCTGGAGTCTTCTATGGCTGCTTCTTCAACCATTTTGTCGGTTTTCGCCTGCATTATGAGCAATGGTTTATGCTCGAAACTTCATCAGTTAATATTACTGTACAACATTGTGTGGTTTATCAAAATAAAATCTCATCCATAATGGAGCCAGGCAGGGTCTGAAAGGCAAGATAGACCCTCATTACCCAAAAAACGGTATGGTAATATTCTGCACTCAGCATATGGTACTAATGTCAACACAATTTTTCCATATGCTTCAGTGACTTGACATTTGCGTCACGGGAAGCATTTCCTACGGGTTTTGGATTTACCAGCAGCTATCTTCAATCTGTACTGAAGATTAGATGGCCAAAAAAGGTAGCAACAAGGAACTCCTCCAAATATCCAGAATAAAATGGAAAGAGAACAGACACAAGCTGAGGAGACCGTTGAGTGTCACCCCGCCACAGGACTGTTAGTGGACCTCGAATGAGAGACGATAAGTTGGACGTCCGAGAAAGACATGGAGGAGATTGTGTGAAGGAGAAATGACAGCTTGTGGGCAATCATGGAACCAGTAAAGAAGGACTGAAGGTAACAGGATGAAATGGTGATGTGCTGATGGAACATTATATTCCACTCAGAACACAAGGGAATGATAATAGTGAGCAATACTAATTTACAATTTATTGATAAGTTATATATATATATATAAGTACATGTATATGAATTCATTTGAAAGTTTTTAATTGTGTTAATGATGAGCATAAAAACTATTGGCTTGCTTTAATTTATTTCAGAGTACGGTCAGTATCAAAGAAGGTGGAGATATCTTGGAGTTTTAAATAACTGTCTTCAAATAATGTTGATTGTTATTTATCAGATACAGACATTAAACTTAGTGTGAAAGTCTTTAATTACAGTTTACTACTTTCCTGTCAGTTCTTTTCTTTTTAAACTGTGCGTACTACTTACTCTTTCTTATCAAAAGATTTTAAATAAAAAATACGTTTATTTGTATTGTTGCAACACTGTGGAGCTCACGCAGTCAAACCTCTGTAATCCTGGAGATTTGTAGCCCAATGATGGTGGTGTGGTCGCCTAATGTATTAATCAAAATCTGTCATCCATTTGTGAAGTATTGTCATTAAACTAAGTGACTCAAACAACTGTTAAGAAAAAGCCGTCCTCAGTGGTCGTCAGCACATTGCAGTATCTTTGACAGATACACTGACTGCTCTCCGGAGACCAGTGTGTACCAGTAATCCTGTTGTACAGAGCAGAAGCTGTGGTTTGAGTATATTAGTGATGAATTTTCTGACTTAAGGTATTGACTGACACGGATACAAACAAATATGGGAATATAAAGCAATGATGGCTATCATAAGAACTGAATTTAGCTTAAAAAGGGCTTCTCATTATTTCCCCACCCAGCCCCAAACATCAGGAAACGTTGTTCCACTGATTTTTGAATCATTTATTTTACGAGCGGTTATCCAGCATTTATTAAATAAAAAGACACATCTCCCTATGTATTTCATTTTAAAGTGATGTTAATGGGTAGATGTTAGAAGAGAATGTTCACTGGAGATACTGGATGCTTAAAAGTGCTTTTTCTTAGTTATGCTTGATATAAAATTCTTGACGAAGTGTGTTTCACTGTGTGAGTAGGCGATAGTTGTTTTGTAATCCAAATTCGAAATCTGCATAGCTAGTAGTGTAAAATAGCACTGCTTATCTGACAGCATGAAGTGGAATTTTTTTATCTTAGTTGTTGCATGGTATCTTCCTACTCCTACTGGTCGAAACATTGGACGACAGGCATTGTAGAATGCATTTCATTTTAACATTTCCCTTGATTACCGTTTACACAACAAACAATAAAGTTTTCTACCATTATGAATATGTTCTTGATGCCCTTTTCATAGTGCGTTTAATGGTAAGAGAAGTGTTATTATTATTGTTCCCTTGGGTTCCGAGTGGAACATAGGGCTTCAACAACACATCTCCATTTTTTTCTATTCTCTTCTGTCCTCTTTAGCTGAGCCCACGATTGCCCATAATCTCTCATCTCTTCCATGTCATCCTCGCACTGACGACCCACTTGTCGCTTCCCATTTTGATTCCACTCGAGTGATGACCTTGCGGGCGATGTCATTTGACGGTCTCCTCAATGTATGCCCGATCCATCTCCATTTACTCCTACATATTTGTTGAGCGATCGGTTCTTGGTTGGTTTGTTCCCACAGTTTCTTGTTACTTATTCTTTCTGGCCATTTGGTCTTCAGTATGGAGCCAGAGAAGGTGACAGCTGTTGATAAAAGTCTTCAGCAGACTGTTGGAAATGCTTTTCGTGATGCACCAAGTTTCTGACTCGTATAGAAGAACTGACTGACTTCACATTTGTGTCGAAAATCCGAATCTTCTTCTTTATGCCGAGTGCAGAAGATTTCCAAACTGGTTTCAGATTGATGAAGGAGTATCTTGCCTTTCTGATTCTGGTTGTCTTTCACATCTTCATCCATTTCGCCTGTAGTTGAAACGATGCCTCCTAGCCAGATAAGGGAAGGAAGTAAACTCTGTTAAATTTCTCCTGTTGATGTTGATTGGTGCTGGTTGTTGTTGTTGGTTGGTTATCTTCATCACCTCCATCTCCGCCATCTGTATGTTCACCTGGAGTCCTGTCTTCTCTGACCACTTCTTCAACCAGTTGGTTGGTTTTCATATGTAAGTCTTCAAGTGTTTGTGATACTAAACATAAATCATCCACGCGCGAAGTTCAGATTTTCTAGAGTCTTCTTATGGGGCTTATCACTCCCCACAGTCAGACACATAATCAAGTCCACCACAATTAAGAATATCATTGGTGATAATAGGCAAGCAGCCATGTCTTACTTCTGCATTCACTTCATAGCCATCGATGAGTTTTCCGTTGTGGATCACCTGACAAGTAGCATAGTCATATGGCCAGCTGTTGAATGAGGTTGATAAAATCTTGGACACTACACGCCATGGTGTTGAGAAGTGTTATTAGTGCAGTAAAAGTGTGTTCAGTGGAACGATGACAATGTTTAAAGAATTGGGATATCAGGTCTTTGTAAAGATGTGAGTACTTTCATTGAGTTGTCAATTTATGACGAGTGTGACCATGAACATAAGTTGTATTTATACCTGGATTGTTTGTATTTTCAGAATGAAGCAGCGTATCAAGTTTTTAGTGCACTATTTATCATCAGAAATGCCTTCTATTAGTACACTTGTAGTCTAAAATCTGTAGAAGCCTTCAAATGTAGAAGTACTGATATAAATTAGAAGTTCCATATCAGAAACTTTGGTGAAGAAAAAGGTTTCAATGTAAATCAACAACTAAGAAGATAAACATAAAGAAAGAAATCTGTTTCATCTCATTTGATCTATTATACTTTGGTGTGAACGTTATTCACATTGATAATATGCAAACAGACTAAACAATATTCCATCTTTTCGGAAAGAAAAGGAATAAATCTGTATGTTAGATACTTAATTCTTGTCGACACTTTTATTACATGAAGATAAGTGGAATACTGCCCATTCAAGTAGCCAGCAGAAATGTTTTTGAGGGAGTTTTCATCATATCATTATTTTTTAGTAGTTCAGAGATTACAGGCAGATTGAAAGGATGTCTGCAGTCTTGAAAATGAAATTTAACTTCAGGAACTTTGAAATCTTCTCTGAACAATCTACTGAGAGAAATATTGCTTTTCTCTGATTTTCAGAACATCTTTTGAAGTTACCAGTTAACTAGTAGATAGATGAACCACCACCTTAGTCTTTTTTAACATAAGTGAATTAACTTATTTCTGTTTATTCAACTAACTAGCTACCAAAAATGAAAATGGCTCACTATAAAGTATTGCTTTATTACAATCAAATACCTTTGGTTTTATAAAATTCCGAGGTAAATTATTCTGAAGTATGTTGAAGTTACACTATCCAAATTTCAATATGAAAGTGTTTTTTACATTGACTCTGGAGTTTAGAATTAGATGTTACGTTTGATAAGCGTTTGATGGAGTGAGTGTTACTCCAAAGATAAATTAGGCATTCATTTGTAGTGAATATTTACGCCTTACATTCAATACGAATAGTAAAATTGTTAGATAATAAACGTAAAAGTGATATTAGACGGAGAGCACTCACTTTGGATTTTATCATAGAGGAGATTTCGTATAGATTATTTTACTCAGGTAGGTTGCATTTGCTTATTTATAGGTGTTTTTTGTTTAAAGGGCATGAGTTCAAGCAAATTGCTGCTGAGATTTATACACTTCATGCTTTCAGCATAGAAAGTATTCTTGTAACAAGTGATAAAGTCACAGTAAATGTCGACTAACATCTGCCTCAACTTCAGACTTTGAGAAGGCCTTCGACAGCGTTAACCGCGAAGTAATTTGGAAACTACTCGAGTACTACGGCGTACCCCAAAAATTCATCAACCTTATTCAACAGCTGTACGACAACAGCACATGTCAAGTGACCCACAACGGAAAACTCAGAGAGGCATTTGGAGTAAACACAGGAGTCAGACAAGGGTGCTTATTATCACCAACGATATTCCTAATTGTGGTGGACTGGATTATGCGTCAGACAGTGGGAAACGAGGAGACAGGGATATCCTGGACCGACGTGAAGAACCTAGAGGACCTGGATTTCGTGGATGATTTATGTTTGATGTCACACAAAATCGAAGACTTACAAGCGAAAACCGACAAACTGGTCGAAGAAGCAGCAAAGACAGAACTTTAGGTGAACATAGACAAGACGGAGGTTATGAAAATAACCAACCAACCAACAACAACAACAGCAGCAACAGCAACATCCAGCGCCAATCACCATCAACGGGAGGGATTTGAAAGAGGTTGCTTCATTCACTCATCTAGCTAGGGAACATTGTCTCAACTACAGGAGGAACGGACGAAGATGTCAAATCGAGAATCAGGAAAGCGAGAAATACATTCATCAACCTGAAACCAATCTAGAAATCTTCGTCACTCAACATCAACAACAAAATTCAGATTTTCAATACAAACGTCAAGTCAGTCAGTTCTTCTATACGGATCAGAAACTTGGCGGGTCACAAAGAATATTTCCAACAGCCTGTTGCAGACCTTTATCAACAACTGTCTTCGCTCTATACTGAAGATCAGATGGCCGGAAAGAATCACCAACAAGAAACTATGGGAACAAACAAAAGAAGAACCAGTCGCCCAACAAATATGCAGGAGAAAGTGGAGATGGATTGGACACTCGCTGAGGAGGCCGTTGGGTGACATCGCGCGTCAGGCCAATCCTCGAATGGTAGCTGAAAGGGAAGCGGCTAGTGGGATGTCCATGAGTGACATGGAGGAGATACTGTGAAGAGGAGTTGAAACAGTATGGATTAACATGGATGCAAGTGAAAAGTATAGCAGAAGACAGAAGCAAGTGGAGACGTGTAGTTGAAACCCTATATTTTACTAGGAACCCAAGGGAACAATAATAATAATAAAAATGTCGACTGCATGACTTATTTTAACACATATATCAAGTTAGATGATCAGATTTAAACTCATACATGATGTTACTGAAAACTGAATAGCAGACAAGGAAACAAAATCTAATTCAGCACGTTGTAAACGGTCTATCGATCCAAAATTTATCAAATTAGATTAATCTTAAATAACTAATAGTTGAACAAATTTATCATATAGACAACATAATGATGTCAAAGAAACTGTTTTTAAAACAATGGTGGTGCGGGTTGTAAACTTCTGATTCTGAATCTTGAATGCGAAATAAGAGGTGCACATAAGTTAGAAAGTTAGGAAAACTCATCTGTGTACACATCTACTTCTGTGCAGCTCTTTTTTCGATCAGAAATATTACCAACCCCTTCGTCGATGAAGTATTCTTAGAGTTTTTATAAGTTGACGTTTGATTTTTAGTACAATAATGACACTTGTAAATAAATAAGGCTATAGTATTTTCCTATGAGACTGTATTCTCTCAACAAGGTGGCTTAACTTTTCAGCTTTCATTGTCCTTCCAAGCAATATGAACTGAGTTCTGTTAGA